ATTATGCATGTACAGTTGTCCCTCAGTGTCTGTGGGAGACTGGTTCTAGGAACCCTCCACGGATTCCAAAATCCTTAGGTGCTCAAGTGCCTTATATAAAATGATGCAGGATTTCCATATATCCTATGCACATATTCCCATAAGCTTTAATTCATCTTTAGATTATTTATAATACTTAATACAAAGTAAAAACGCTATATAAATCATTGTAAATACAATGTAAATGATGTGTAAATAGCTGCCAGCGCATGGCAAAATCAAGTTTTGCTATTTGGAACTTTCTGGAATTTAAAAATTTATTTTGAATTTTCAATTCGTGGTTGGTTGAATCTGAGGATGCAGAACCTAAAGATGTGGAGGGCCCGTTGTGTTAGTAATTTGGATATGGTAACTTAATTTTCTGGTTGCCAGTATTATGAAGTGGCTGTTAATATGTTACATTTTGATAGAGTAAATGCTCTCAAAAACGACTACACAAATCAAGAAATGACACTGATTGCAGTGCACTTTCCTCTGGAAATTTCAGCTTATGTAATTTTTTGACCATAGAAAACTATATACCCACTCTGTTATTTGAGAGAACAACGTGGACTTTATTAAACAGAGTATTATAATAATTTTTCACTTTTACCTTTCTCAGTTTTACAGTCCTTAATATTGGTGTGTTTAATTTTCTTTCCAGGTTTTCTTTAGGTGATGCTAGGAGGCCTCTTCATGAAACAGCAGTTTTGGTCGAAGATGTAGTACACACTCAGTTAATTAATCTGGTAAGAGCATGTGTCATCGTATTTGGTGTCTCTCCTCTGTATTCTGCCTATATTGGCATTGCAACCCAACATTTTTTTTTTAAGATTTTTTTCAAACAGTTTTTGTATTTGGGTTTCTTTTTTGTCAGCTTATTGAGGTATACAATGCATAATTCAGTGAGTGTTGATGACTGAATATTGTCATGTGACTACCAGAGCAATCATGATATAGAAGCATTTCTATCACCCTTGTACCCCTGTGTAATCAGCCCTTTCACCCACTACTGACCCTTGGTAACACTGATCTGTTTTGTTTTGTTTTGTTTTGTTGTTTTTAATCATTATACCAGCATAGTTTTTTTCAGCACTTTAAAAAAATTATTCTGAGTTTTAGACTTATAAAAGAATTGTCCAAATAGTACAGCGAATTCTCAGATACCGTTCAGCTTCCTCTCTCAACATCTTGCATAAGCATAGGACAGCTATCAAAACCAGGAATAACATAGGTACAGTCCTGTAAGTGAAATTACCAACCTTATTTGAATTTCATCAGTTTTCCCATTAATGTTTCTTTTCTGTCCAGGATAACACATTGGAGTGAGCTGTCGTATTTTTGTGGTCTTCTTCCTATCCATCCATGGTAGCTCCTCAATCTTTCCTTTTCTTTCATGACCTTCACATTTTTCAAAAGTACCAGAATCTTATTTTTTAGAATGCTCTTCTTTTTCAGTTGGTCTGATGTTTTCTTATGGTCAGAGGGTGACCCTGCCTTTTTGGCAAGATTACTAGACATGATGGGATTTTCTCAGTGTATCATATCAGTGGGTCTATGTTATTGAGGTGTTACTTGTCCTCTTAACCTTCATAACTTGGTTAAAATGGTATATGCTGAATTTTTCCACTATAATGAAGTTACTATCTTTTTTATATTTTGTTGTTAATAAATATCTTGTGGGAGATACTTTGTGACTGTGCAAATATTCTTTTTCTGAAAATTTTTGGGTGGGTGTTGTCTGAGACAATTAGTACTGACATTTGCGTAATAATGATTTTCTATTTCCTTCTTCCTTTTATCTTTTTTAATTATGGTTATTTTGAAAGGAATAGCTATCCTTTATCACCATTTATGTAATTAAATTTTTAATGTATGTTTAATTTTATTCTTAGGATCATTATGCAGTAATACCATTTTTTCTATCAGATTTTTGGTCATATGCCTCACATATTAAGCATATCAGTCCTTTGTGGTATATAATACAAATATATTCTTCCAGTGTGTCAGTTATCTTTTGACTTTGTTTCTGTGAACTTTTTGGGGGGAATACAGACATTTTTATTTTAAAGTAGTCAGTGCATTCAATCTTTTATTTCCTTTGGATTTTGAATTACCATTTGGAACACTTTTCTGATATTGCATTTAAAGAGAAATTCATCTACATTGCCTTCTAGCACCTGTATAGTTTCATTTTTAACCTTTAGATTCCTAACCATTTGTTGTTTATTCTTGTTATTGTGTGAGATGTGAATCTAATTATATCTTTTCCAGTTACACCATCATCATTTATTAAAAACTACATACTTTCCCTAATGATCTGAGATGCCTCCTCTATTATACACTCAATTAACATATGGACTGGGATCTATTTCTGATTGTATACTCTGTACCAGTGGTTTATTTGTCTATGCGTGTGCTAATACAGCCTTCTTAATTATGTAGGTTTTATGATGTATCTTAAAGGTTGTTAAGCTAAATGCCCCTTGTAACTTTTCTCCAGTGTTTTAGATCACTTGGGCAGCAGTTGCGTGTCGTTTCATTTGGGAAATAGAACAGTAAGACTGGCAGTAGACTCAATGTAGGAGATTTTCTTTACAACTTTTCTTCTGTCTCGTTTCTTTGACCTCTGATTCCCGCCTGAGACCTGTGCCGTCCCTCCTGTTGCTAATTCTTTCTCAGTTCTCCCGCCAGGCCTGCCCTCCCTTCTGAGTGATTCCACCAGACTCTGCTCTGTTCCACTTGTTAGACTGTGACCGGCTCAGGCCCCAGTGAACTCTTCTTCACTGGAGTGAAGATTATGGAATATGTTAAATTATGCGAACATGTAGTTTAAAATCTCTATAAAGCTTTTGACTTTATTTAAGAACAAGTTAGACTATTAAGGTCAGAATTTTAAAGTTGAATTATATTTCAGAAATTACTATTTAATAGTTTGAACCAAGTGACGTTGCCTTTTTTTTCAGTAAGCCGTGAATGGTTGAGTATCAGTAATTGTGTATGATTCAGTGCAATACTAATTAGTTGTCACTAGAGAGAGTCTTCAAAAGTTTTACTGTTCTTATTTTGTAAAATAAAATACTAATATTTACTTTTCACGGTGCTTATATAGAGGGTCATAAATTGAGCTATAATGTATATAAAGGCCTTAGTGAAGTTACTAGTAGTAAATGGTTACTATTGTGATTAATCCTGATAAAATAACAGGGCTATTTATCAGCATGATTTATGTTAGAAATGGATTGCAGAATCCGTGTAAATACTCTTTCAGGTTTACCCAAGAGATGCAAACCTTTTTGTGTCCTCACCTTCCCTCTCCTCCACTTCCCACCTTGAGCTCCATCTCCTGTTTGAAGTAGGTAGGAATTTATGCCGACTGGAAATTTTGTGATTGCTGTTGATGCTGTCGATAATAATATTCTTTCAAGTTCCCAAACTGTCACAATTTCTGATGGCTGAATAGCTTCTTTCATTTTTTGTATGCCTTCAAAGTTAAATATCAGAGGACTTTATCTTATGCATAGAATGTAATTATCTCCCATTTCATTTCAAAGTCTTACTGAATTTCCACTGTGTAACCTACCAGGCAACTAGTAAGCTGTTCAGTCTGTTGTACTATGTTTTCGCATCAGAACCAGTTTCTCAGGGTTATTCTAATAGTCTTAATAACAAATTTAAGAGTGAAAAGTGTTGCTTAAATCTTCCATCTGGATTAGCATGCCCTGAGTTGTCCCCTCCCCCACCCCACTTGTAACACTTTTAATTTGGCAGTTTATCTTCCTGGTAGAAGGAACTCACGCAAGGCACTCTTCGGTCCTCATGACCGCTTCTGCAGGGCTGTCACTTATGCCACTTCGGTAATGGTTTATGAGTGTGTTTTAAAATAGTAAGAAAATTTTCTGTGCAGAACTTCAATTATAAGGGTTATGAAAATAGGACAAACTAATATAATTTGTGATTGCATAAAATAAAGGAAGTAGAGGTACCACAGGGACTCAATGAATCACAGAATGGAAACAGTCTTTTACTTCTGACCAAACATTCAGACTTTGTACTAAGTCAGAGCGTGGATGTGTAACTCAGCAAAGCGGAACACACTGTGTTGCACAAGTGGGATAGAGAGGTCCACAGATACCATATGGGGAAAATTCTTGGCTTATTTCATCTGTTTCTACTGCAGAGTAAATGAAGTACCACATATTTAGCATAAACAGATGGAAAGCACACCTGCTTTGTGGAATACACACACATACGTGCACACACATGCACTCAGAGTGGTTCGAAATATAGAATGTTGGATGTCATGAAAGAGTGATTGCTTTCCTTCTTTTTCACTCCTTTCCTTATGAATGTACCGTGGAAAATTTACTAATTGTTTTGAATGGCACTTGTTTATGATGGTTTGCTGTTAATATTTTCTATTTAATTAGTCTTATTTTCTCTCATATGTTACTACCCCATACCTCAAGAAATAGTATTGTATCTCCTGTTTAAAAAAATGTTTGTATTGCAGTTGACCGACATTTAGTTACCTAGTTTGTTTTGAGGGGAGAGGTAATTAGGTTTATTCATTTATTTATTTTTAGAACAGGCACTGGGGATTGAACCCAGGACCTCGTGCATGCTAAGCATGCACTCTGCCACTTGAGCTCTACCCTCCCCCCTAGTTTTTAATCTGTGACACAAGATGGGCATATTCTAAGTAGATTGCCTCTAGCTACATTTTTTTTCCACAAATTGCCCCAGGTGGTTTACTACAGGTGTAACCTAGAGGACTGACCAGGAAGGAGTTTCCAGTCCTTTCCCCACTCTTAGCGTGTCTTCTTTCTCCTGCTGGGGTATATTCCACTCAGAGTCAATTATTCAGCTCTTCAAGGTGAGATAGTCTCAGAGCGTAAACTGTTTACAGTTCCGGGAAGCTACAAGTACTCTTTCACGTCACGTGGTTGGCTTAGCGTGGGTATAAAACAGTTTCTTCCTCCTTTCAGTGTGTTTCAAGCCTTTTCCTTTCGCGTTCTTCATTTATTTCCTGCTGCTCAGCTAGGATCCCAGCGTCTGACTTAAGCTAAGCTCTGCAGGCTACTTGGATCCTGTGCCAAGCTTAGATTTCTGACCTGTGCTGAAACTCCTATTAAATGCCTAAGGCATAGCTTCTAAGAATTTCAGATTTACGAAAGAGATGCAGACCTTTCCTAAAATTCCTTCTCTCCATATAGAGTTGCATGACTTACTTAGAATAGGTACAGATTAGTGGTAGCTGGAAATTGTGTGACTGAATCCATATTACAAGGCTGTCAATAATATGTTTTTGATAATGCCCATTTTGAGTGAAGCTCAAAAAGACTACCATGATTTTTGATGACTGTATAGGTACTTGTATTTCTCAAAGTTAAATATCTGAAAAACCTCTCTGTTTTATGCAGAGAGTATAATCATCTACCATCCCATTTAAAAGTCAGCCTGTATTTTCACTAAATGAATTTATCAGCCAACCAGTAAACCATGCAATCTGTTGCATTATGTTTTTAGATATAAATTGGTTTTTAAAGTTATTCTAATAATCATTCATTATGAAAACTAATAAAGAATAAACTTACATGTATGAAGTGACCATCTGATCTCCTGTCTGGATTAGCAGGCACTGAGTTCTCCTGAGATTTCTCCCTCTCTGTTTATGCTTGCTTCTAGTGCCTTTTAATTTGGCAAATGTTTCCCAAGAACTCTATTCTCATTCATAATATTTCTGTGT